TGACTCCTGGCGTCACTCTAATTTGGCATATTGCGGATCCAAAGATGTATGGCAGCAGCCATGTTCCAGTGTGTTGTGTGTGCATGTGCTTGTTGTCTTCTTTTCTGCCTTGCATTGCTTCCTTATGTAAATTGACCTAGCTTGATGTTTGCCATTTCTTGTTGGGCCCAAATCAGTCTATTCAGTCTATGCTTTGTGCCGTTTGACATTGCCAAGTTCAAGAGAGACACGCGGAGTCATTTTCATGCTTCTTGACTATTGTGCAGTCTTGGTAATGCAGCAGACTCTGGTAGAGAGCTTGCTGGAAAGAATTCAGCAAGACAAGGGATGCTGCAAAATTGAAGTCAAGCTCATGAGCGCCTGGCTCTTTCTCGTGAACTTTGGCGTCTTTCAACTTTGACACAAGGATAGGGGGACAGAGACATAGTTGTAGAAGACTGCAACTGATCATTGAGGAAAGCAAACGGACACGGGGTTCGATTGCTGAATCATGCAGGTTGCAATAATGTTGTGCCAAAACTCTTGAGCGGCAGAGTTCAATTCTTTTGACTCCTGGCGTCACTCTAATTTGGCATACGGCAAAAGAACAAATAGTCCACTTCTTGCAGCGAACTTAACGTTTTTCATGTGCTGGATCTAGGTCGCATGGATATATTTTGCACTGACGGCGCTAGGAGTGTTCCTTCCACTTAGATCTTCATTCAATCTTCCTTCATGCCACGTCGTTTGGCTATGATGCCGTCAGAATGTGATCAAGAGTCAACGAATATCGCAGATCTGCGCCAGGTGTCAAGACTGAGCCTGAGGCATGTGGGTTAGGTGAATGCAACCGGAAATATGACGCTTGAAATATGTGACAAGAGTCGAAGGGAGAGCCAAGAACCTCAACACGTAGATTTCTTTGTGCAGAATGTGCAGATGATGGAAATGCGACATGATTTGACTGTATTGTGCTGTTTTCAGGGTCTTTGCAAGAAATTCCCTCGTGGCAGATCCATATCATCGAGAGGTCATACAGCAACCGTTCCAAATGCCTTCTGCTGCGAAGGTGGGTGGTGCTCGATTTTCTTGTGCAAAGATCTGCCTGATGACCTAGAAGCACGCAAGTACAAAAGCACTCCTTCAACAAACATGTACCACGGCAGCTACTGATTTCCACCACATTGTCGCTCCTGCAAGAGTGTCCACAAGTTGGTCAACAGGAATGGCCAAGCATCAGGAAAGCTGGCATGATACTCGTATCAGGACACCAATTTACAGTACAAATTAAGGATTTGAACTAGCATTGAAATTGATCAACGTCAATTTAAGGCGTGACGCAATACAGTTGCTTGGATCACTTGATGTTGCCCCGTATGTAAGACAAACCTTCTATATACGGACCACGGGACATCGGTTGGTTCAGATATCCGGGTTTAGATGCATGCCAACGCCGACGATAAGACCAGGCGCATGTACCTTTTGTGCTCTGGTTGGCAAAAGCCCACAAGCGCGTGTGGGGGGGTTTGAAAAAGCAGTTGCACAAGCGCATGCACAGATGTCTTGGATGTTCTTTGGCGCCAGGTGCCACCGATTTTTGGCTTCCCAGGGTCCCAGCCGCAGGGATGCCAAGCCTCTGTGGTGAGCATTCAATTTCATTTATACTTTTCTTGGAGCTAGATTGGATTCTAGCAGGAGATTTGCATTGAAAGAACTCTGGTTCAGCCCAGTTCATCCAAGTGGGTTGATGGGCGGCCCTGGTCTTCAGGCTTGAGGCTCCAATCTCGCTGGCTTCGCCAGCCGCACCAGCTGTACCAGCCGCGCCTGAGACTGCAGGCGGCATGGTGTTGGAGCGATCACTGTTTCAAGAGAAGCATAGAAGATAGAGAGAAGCATAGATTCTGGAAGTGAGAGTGATGAAGGCCCTCAGATTTTGGATCTGGAATGGTCTGGGAAAAGGGTTAACCGCTTTGTGGAGGTCCTGGTGCAGAGACTGTGCGCTTGGCAGAGCTGGAAATAGAGGAGACTGCGAGAATTCCCTCACAAGTTATCAAAGCTTGCGGTGTGATAGTATTGTGGAGAACTGCCGCATGTCGACAACTGGCGCGCTGCAGCTTTAAGCAGCTTTCCTGTGAAACATGTCCATGGTGAGGCAGCCATCCAAGAAAGAACGGATCAGATCCTGTGGTACGTGAGGTGAACGAAATGTATTTGAGTCAGCAGTGCCACTCCGAAAGGAGAAAGCTGTCCTACAAGAAGTGCTTGCATTGGACCGCGGAGGCTACTTGCCTGTGTTGAGGGATGGGAAATGGAAGATTTGCTGGTCACAGTCCAGGTAGTTCCCCCCCACCTGGCACAGTGCTAATACCTGCCGTTGTGACTTGGAAGTCTAATCATGTCAAACCCGACTGTTGGTACATGATGGTGAACAATCATATCTTGGGAATTCCTGATACCATTGATTTGCCATTGAAACGGGCAAATCCATATCCCAAACAATCCAAATATTGTCCCACACCTATTTTTGATGACCTGATTGCTCTGAATCCTGTGCAACAGAAATCACAGCAGTGCTCAGGTAGAGACAACATCCTGGCCTGGCCCCCAAGATGGATGTCCATGCTCCCAAGCTGTGTTCTTGTTTTGATTCAAGCTGCTGAATTGGTTCGTTCAACAACTGGAATATACTTAGACTTAGAAGCCCTCTGTAGAAGGATGCTTTCTCAAAGTTTATTTTACGCATCTCCAATGTGCATCTTTACCGCAGGTCCCGCAGCCACCTCGGGAAGCACCCACCCACAGCGGACGAAGGCGCTGCTTATAGGCATGTTTATCTTTTTTCTGATTTCTCAAGCCTAGCAAGATGAACCTAGGATGGCCACATGGCCACCCTGGCTCAGATGGCTACCTCCTTATGGTGAAAAAACAACACGGTCGACCGGTCGACCGGTCCACCAAGTCTCGCCAGGCGCCGACCCCATGAAGAGGTGGGTTGGAGTCTCGGAGTTGAAGCAGACGGAGTGATGGGCAGCCAGGAGCAGAGTGACTCACCGGCAGCTCCACCAGTACCCAAGGCAGGAGGAATATGTTGCCAACTTCGAATTCGCAGCTTCGCAAAACACCTTTGAATCACCTCTCTCCTTTTTGCACACTCCAGCAGTCCAAAAAGAGATACGGAACCCAATCACGCATTCCTTTTTTGATCTTTTTTGTTTATCTCCTCAAACCATGATGTTCTGCCTGCCAAAGAAGGTGTTTTGGTACCTTTTTCCAGGTCACCCCGCCCAAGCATGGTGGCCGGGCACCGCCGCGGCCTCCAAGAGTGAGGTAGGAGGGCTGGCTCTAGGCAGCGCTGATCGCGCGGGGTAGGACCAGTTCTCGGAAGGAGCCGCTGGCTGACGAGAGAAGAGATTGTTTTATAAAGCTACCACACACACACACATTGTCATGCATGCGTTTGACCGTTTGACCGTCCTTGTACCGACTTCTACACATTGGCTTCCTTTCGTTTCCATGATAGATTGTTGGTGATGTATAACTCATACAAACAAGATCGAAACCAACAGAGGAAACATGAGTCAAACTGAATTGAGCCAAGGCTGAATATCGATGATGACTAGCAGCTCAGGTCTAACATCATTTGCCGTAGCCGTAGACGTCGGAGTGATGTCACTTGGGTTCTCTCACGTCGAGCTTGATGGTTTTAGAGAGCTGCAAGTTGCATTGAGCTTCGCGCACGACCTTTTTGACCTTTTTTTTGGCTTCACTGAAGGTGAGCCAGGAGTCAAAAGATCCGAATGGACAGCAGCAAATATTTGTAGGAACGCCTGGGCTACGATTGTGAGTCCCTCCAAATGAATCGAAGGAGTTCTCCGTCGTGGGTCTTTTCAAACTTGCATGGCAGGGAAAACGGGTCCGCCTTGACTGCTGTGCAATTGGGCATGTTCGCTGCTTTGCATTGCATAATCATTGGGCATTCGTCTTTTGCTTTTCCGAAAGTTTGCTTGCATGGCAACTCGAAACCATCTCGGAGCTTGTTTTGCACCATGCCACCATGCTGCTCCCCTCCTTCTGGCTCAGCGAGATGCCCATGGCCCATGGTGCTCTGCTACCGACCAGGGACATCCCACATTTTCCTCCCAACCAAATCAATCCACCATTCTCAGTGTGGAGGGTTTTCCGGGCCGTCTAGACTCCCGAGACTCCCGAGACCCGACCCCAGAAACAGACCCGAGATCCGACGAGCCAACCACCGATTCCGACGATCGGAGACCCGACGATCGGCCCTCCGGCCCTCGTTCTTCGACGAGTGGTCGGAGATTCCCCAACGAGTGGTCGGCCATTTTTCAGCATGGCCTCAGAGCCTACGGATGCACAGGCGCACCACGGTGGGTCCTTCAAGTTGTTCGAAGTGGCTGGTAAAACCACAGAAGTGGTTCAGAATATGCTAACATGAGCCGAGTTGTTGGAGGTTCTGACCCGTGGAAACATGTCACAAGCCTTTGGCTGTTCACCATGCAAAGAGACAGAAATAGAAGAGTTGTCACATTCTCTTTTGCAGCCGTTTTTGTTTCGAAATACGCTACTACAATGATTGCAGCATGGGTGTAATTTTCATCACATGTTTGCCCAGACTCAAGTGGGTCCCTCGAGCGTCTAGAGGCCGATACAGCTAACAGAAGTGGTTAGCGTACACCAAGAGCTATTGCAGTATATAAGTCGAAATCACCTGCAGTGAAAGTTGAACACATGTGTGGCATGCTTGGAGGATTGCTGCTCTCTGCAGTTTTGATTGAAGGGAAAATCTACTTTTCCGAGACTTTTGGAGAGGGCTGGCAACAGCGGTGGAGGTTGAGCACCTGGAAGGAGGGCCATGCCGAAAAGATGGGCAAGTGGCAGACCTCTGCCGGCAAATGGTACAGAGATGAAGTGGAAGATGCTGGTCTGCAGACGGCAGAGATCATGAAATTCTATGCGATTTCTGCCTCCTTCGAGCCCTTCAGCAATGAGGGTAAGGAGCTTATAGTCCAGTATCAAGCAAAGTATGAAAAAGACTTGGCCTGTGGAGGTGGCTATCTGAAACTGGGCCCCAGCACAGAGGATTTGTCCAAATTTGGTGACTCCACAAAGTACAACATCATGTTTGGGCCTGACCAATGCAATGCAGAGAAGCGAACTCACCTCATTTTTCGCTATGGCGGTAGGAATTTCTTGAAGAAGGCCGAGCTGCCATACAAACAAGAAGGGGAGGGGCTCTCGCATCTATACACGCTTCACCTGAAACCTGACAACACAGTACGAGTGCTTGTAGACCTGGACAAAATCTATGAGGGCTCGCTGAAGGATGATTGGGAGATGCTGCCACCGCGGGAGATCGCAGATCCTAAAGACCAGAAGCCATCAGACTGGCTTGACGAAGAGATGATGGAGGATCCAGCAGATGTGAAACCACCAGACTGGGTTGAGAGCAAGATGATGGTTGACCCCAAGGCTGGAAAACCTGAAGAGTGGGATGAAGAAGAAGATGGTGAGTGGGATGCTCCAAAGATTGAGAATCCCAACTTCAAGGGGCCCTGGCTTCCCCGCAAGATTCCCAACCCTGACTACAAAGGCACGTGGAAGGCGAGAATTGTCCCAAACCCTGACTTTTCGGACGACCCAGATTTGTACAAATATTCGGACATCGGTTATGTCGGCTTTGATGTTTGGCAGGTTAAGGGAGGCACCATTTTTGACAATATCATCATAACAGATAGTCTGAAGGAAGCGGAGGACATGGCACAGAAGTGGAAGGCTCTCCGTGAGGTTGAGGATGCAGCAAAGAAGAATGAAGACGAAGCGCAAGCGAAAGCGTTCGAGAAAGCCAAAGCAGCGAGAGCTGCACGTTCCAAAGAGAACAAGGCTGGTGACACGAAGAATGAAAAGAAAGATGAACTCTAGAAAAAGAAGGCGCCCTTGTGTGCCTTTGCTGACATTACACAGATCTCGCCAGTGCGACAAAAGTGCTTTGCACAGTGCTAATCTTTCAACATTTTTCAACATATTTCGACATATGAGTGTGTAGTTTCCTTCTGCCAGGGGGTCATTGCGAGGTCTCCCGATTGAAATACATGCCCATATTGCAACAGTAGATCTCTGTTGCTTGCAGACCATCTGAGTTTTGCTGATACCTTCATTCAGCGTTTCTGCGCCGCAGGGTCTGATTGCCGTCGAAGCAGCTGAGGCCGCTGAGGCCGCGAACGGTCCCAGCTGGTTCCCGTATATTTCTTTTGGCTTTCTGTCCAAGGTCGTTGGATTCTTGCGATTTCACAGAGGGTCTTTGGATGCGGCAATGATTTGATGGAAACGGATTCAATCTGTCACACTTGGAAGGATTAACTGTTGGGATGTTCGAACAAGAAGACTTCACAACCAGTTTGATGGTGTCGAATGAGAGCAGTGTGGGTCCCATGCCAGGGTTCCCGAGAAATGGCTTGATTCAAAAAGCCGGCAAGCCATCAAGCATCATCAAGCCAAGTTTTGTTGGTCACAGTTTTATCGGTAGAATAGCAGCGTGGAATTCACATTCACTCACCAGATGTCTGTGACTGGCGGTTGATGTATTTGACAAAAACAGTTCCCGGTGTTGACGCCTTCTGCAGGCCGCGAACCGTTCCGATGCAAGGGCCTTGGACGTCAGCCTTGTCCTGCGACCGAAGTCCTACAAAGGTTCGATTGGGTAAGACCTTTGGGCTTGCTGGGCGCTGCTTCTTGTTTGCTTGCTTGTTTGTTTGCTTGTTTGCTTGCTTGCTTGCTTGTTTGCTTGCTTGCTTGTTTGCTTGTTTGCTTGCTTGGTTGCTTGCTTGCTTGCTTGTTTGCTTGCTTGCTTGCTTGTTTGCCTGCTTGCTTGTTTGCTTGTTTGCTTGCTTGCTTGCGTGGTTGCTTGCTTGCTTGCTTGCTTGTTTGCTTGTTTGCTTGCTTGCTTGTTTGCTTGTTTGCTTGCTTGTTTGCTTGTTTGCTTGCTTGTTTGCTTGTTTGCTTGCTTGTTTGCTTGCTTGCTTGCTTGTTTGCTTGCTTGCTTGCTTGTTTGCTTGCTTGCTTGCTTGGTTGCTTGCTTGCTTGTTTGCTTGCTTGCTTGTTTGCTTGTTTGCTTGCTTGTTTGCTTGTTTGCTTGCTTGCTTGCTTGTTTGCTTGCTTGCTTGCTTGTTTGCTTGCTTGCTTGCTTGTTTGCTTGCTTGCTTGCTTGTTTGCTTGCTTGCTTACTTGCTTGCTTGCTTGCTTGTCTGCTTGTTTGCTTGCTTGCTTGTTTGCTTGCTTGCTTGCTTGTTTGCTTGCTTGCTTGCTTGTTTGCTTGTTTGCTTGCTTGCTATTTTGCTTGCTTGCTTGTTTGCTTGTTTGCTTGTTTGCTTGCTTGCTTGCGTGGTTGCTTGCTTG